CAGTGTTACTGCAGTGTGTTACAGTGACAGTCAGTGTTACTGCAGTGTGTTACAGTGACAGTACTTACTTTGGGTAGTTGGTGCAGTACTGTGTGTAGATCTCAAAGTACTCGCTCTGAAACACAACAACATCAATAATTAAGAAAAATGAATATGATGTTGGGAATTCATTAATCTTTAATATAATTTATTAAAAGATTTTAGAGTTCAAAGTTAAATAATCACAATGTTCGTTGGCAGAAAAAACAACATACAAAGAAAATTCAAAATAAAAGTCTGAAAAATACATCTGAGAAAAAAAGCGCTTTTATTTTGTTTATTAAATTCAGACTAACAAGGTTTTTATCACCTTCATAACGAAGCACCTGGCGACGGCGACGGGGTCGTTGTCACACAGGTCGAGAGCCTGAAGCAGCTCGCTGGAAGAGCGGGAAATACGTCACCATGACGATGACAACAACAACAACAACATCAATAACAACTGCAGGCTGAACACCATTTTGTTCTGGAGCTTCTGACCACCTCACACCGTCTTCCTCAGCAGGCAGAGATACAGTATAAAACAATAATAATAATGACATATGATTATTATTATAATATAATAATATAATAATAATGAAAAGCTGAGTTGACTGCAGTTCAGTTTTCAACTGATAGAACTGTGGATTAATTAATCAATTAATTAATTAATCAATATAAACTTATATCTTCCTCTCTGACACTATGATGTAACGATGTCAGCTGACCAGCAGGTGGAGCGGTCAGGTCAGTTTGTCTTCTGTTAAAGTGTACATAAAGTTTCTGCACCAAGATAAATCATATGAATATTTATTGATGATATCAATTACTATTGATTATTAATGATGAGTAATGAATTCTGTCACCTGTTGAACTCGTAGATGTCCTCAATGTTTCCAAACAGAGAGCAGACCTGCTCAGGACGGATCGATAAATCACACTGATCGATTATATGAGCCAGATAATCCTGGAGGAAGAGGTGGAGGAGGAGGAGGAGGAGGGGAGGAGAGGAGAGTAGGAGGAGGACAGAAGGAGAGGAGCGGAGGAGGAGGAGAAATACACTTTATTATCACATCTAAACTGTGATGGAACTGACAGTAATCTGATTACCTTCTGTTTGGATCAATAATCAATAATCAATCACAGTGATCTGAACTTTCCTTTCCTTTGATTAAGAATAATAAATATTATGTTTTAATTTGGAAATATGAAATATGCATTATTTCATATATATAATATAACATTTGAAACAATAGACGCATCATTCCTTTATTGGAGAGCGTCGATTTAACGGAAACAAACATGACAGCTTGTTAGTTCAATCCAGTTTTCCTTGATCTGGTTCAGACACCTAATAGTCTGATTTTATGTTTTATTTACACGATTAATTGATTTTACAGTTTATGTGTCGACATTGATCCGATAATCGATCAGAAATCTCTCAGTGGTACAGTGAATTATTATTGTTGTTATTAGTGATCAATGATTTAAAGGCGGTCTGCAGGTTCAGATCTTCACTCTGGGTCCTGGTTTATGTGATCCACTCTGTTACATAAGAGTTTAATCCGTCTTAAGCAGTTAATTATAGAGCGTGACGACGGTGACGGTGACGACAGCGTTATTCAGAGACCGTCCTCTGTCCCGAAGTCGTCAAATGTGACTGAGACAGGAAGTGAAGCTCGTCAATTTAACATCATTAAAACAAATTAAATAATTTTATTAATGAATTTTATTTGTTTGCAGAAAGAATTCTTTGTAGAATAATTTCTATTTTATATTTACATCGTTATTTCTTCTGGTTGCAGACAATGATAATAGTCACTGAAAATAGTGAGAATAGTGAGAATTACTGTGTACTCTGTATCTGATGGATGTGGATTTCTCAGAGGCTTTTATTTTAAAGGGTTTGAAGGTTTTTGTATTATTAACATATTTGTATATTATTTATTTAAATGTTATATTTTTATGGAAATAAAAAAGTTCTGTTCTGTGTGTTAGCAGCAAGTTTAGTGGTTAGCTTCAAATAGCAAATTTTTTTGCTGTATTTACTTTCAGTGTTTATTTACTAATAAAGTTATTATTTACTAATAAAGTTATAATCCTTTACATTTGAATGAAATCATGTGATTCGTTTTTTTCTCCACTCAGTTAATATATTTATATAACGTAATTATTTCTCTGTATATTAGTTGTCATTGTTCGTGGCGGAGTCCGCCATTCCCGCACATGAGGGATTGACAGGAAACATGTTTATAATATATATGTTATATATTATACTTTATATATTTATATATATTATATAATTTTATCTGATTGATCCTGCAGACAAATCAGAGCTGGATTAGCTTATGCTAATGCTAACAGAAAATTTCCTGCGTGTGAATTCAAACAATTTTTATACAATTTAATATTCATAAATGTAAACATTTTACTTCTATTTAATAAACGTTATTATCTTTAACCTTTGAACTCACTTCTACGATCATGCGAAGGTCTCTGACGTACATCCTCTCCGTCTCGATGATCTCCATGACGACGCGGTCCAGGTAGGTCAGCTGAGGGTTCGGCGCCATGCTTCCGGCCTTAAACGGTGACGTCTGCTGGCGGCGGCTGGAGGCTCGACTCTGCGTCGACTCTTTATTGTTGTTGTTGTTGTGTATGAGGCCGGGGCCCCGCCCCCTCTCGTCAACCTCAGGGCGTGGCCACGACCCCCCCTCGCCCTCGCCGGCGCCCCCCGCAGGGCTCAGGTCCAGGTCAATGTCGGGGGTTTGGCCGGACGGCGGAGGGACGAGGTTGTCGTCTCGGGAGGATGCAGAGCCCGAAGACAGCGTTGAGATCAGGCTCACCGGGCGGCGGTCGGAGGAGTCGGAGGGCGTGGCCGACGGAGCGCGCTCATTACTGCTGATGGAGGCGGAGGACAGGCGGGGGGAGTCTGAGGAGAGAGGGGGGTTGGGGGTGATTGACAGGTCTGATCAGGATCTCTGTGGTGGACTCTGTGGTGGACAGACCTGTCCACACAGAGTCCACACACAGGCCACACAGAGTCACACACAGGTCCACACAGAGTCCACACGATCCACCACAGGAGTCCAACAAGAAGTCACAAACACAGGTCAACACAGAGTCACACACAGAGTCCACACCAGAGTCCACAACACAGAGTCACAACACGATCCAACCAGAGTCCAAACACAGAGGTCCACCAGAGTCACAACCAGGTCACAAACAGGACCCAGAGTCACAACACAGAGTCCCACCAGAGTTCCAGACAACACAGGAGTCCACAACAGAAGTCCACAAACAGAGTCCAACACAGAGTCCACAACACAGAGGTCACACAGAGCTCCAACCAGAGTCCCAAACAGAGTCCATACACAGAGTCACAAACAGAGTCCAACACAGAGTCCACAACCGACAGTCAACAACACAGATGTAACACAAGATGTCAAACAGAGTCCACGAACACAGAGCCAACACGAGAGTCACAACCAGGTCAACACACGAGTCACCAGGGTCACAAACAGGGTCACAACACAGAGTCCAACACAGAGTCACAAACCAGAGTCCCAACAAGAGTCCAAACACAGAGTCAACAAGAGTCCACAACACGAGTCCAACACGAAAAAAAAAGGTTTTTCCAAACGGTCCACAACACAGAGTCAACAAACCAGGTCCCAACTAGAGATCCAACGACCAGAGTCACAACACAGAGTCAACACAGAGTCCACAACACAGGTCAGCAACACCGAGTCACCACAGGAGTAACACCAGGAGTTCAAACTAACACAGAGCCCACACAGAGTCCCAACCAGAGTCCACAACACAGGTCCACAGAGTCA